TGATGATAACTCAACATTGACGATCATCGATGGATCATTTCCAATCAATGACTATTGAATAAACGGTAAATTACTTCTTAATATTTTCAACAACATTGATTCTAATTCTTTTTTGCATTTTCATATCTCGACTAGATGATAACTCAACATTGACGATCATCCATGGATAATTTTCAATTAAACGATAAAGGAATCCTAAATATTCTTGATAACATTGATTCTAATTCTTGTTTGCATTTTCATATCCCGACCTGATGATAACTCAACATTGACGATCATCGATGGATCATTTCCAATCAATGACAATTGAATAAACGGTAAATTACTTCTTAATATTTTCAACAACAATGATTCTAATTCTTTTTTTTTGTATTTTCATATCTTGATCTCATGATAATTATTATCCGCATTGAAGATCATCGATGGATCATCCCGAACAAATGACAATCAATCAAGTTTCAATCAACAAAATTCGTATTTATTCTCTTTGTCGACAATATTATCGTCCATTCATCAAAATTGTCAAATCATCCNAATATTCTTGATAACATTGATTCTAATTCTTGTTTGCATTTTCATATCCCGACCTGATGATAACTCAACATTGACGATCATCCATGGATAATTTTCAATTAAACGATAAAGGAATCCTAAATATTCTTGATAACATTGATTCTAATTCTTGTTTGCATTTTCATATCCCGACCTGATGATAACTCAACATTGACGATCATCGATGGATCATTTCCAATCAATGACTATTGAATAAACGGTAAATTACTTCTTAATATTTTCAACAACAATGATTCTAATTCTTTTTTTTTGTATTTTCATATCTTGATCTCATGATAATTATTATCCGCATTGAAGATCATCGATGGATCATCCCGAACAANACGATAAAGGAATCCTAAATATTCTTGATAACATTGATTCTAATTCTTGTTTGCATTTTCATATCCCGACCTGATGATAACTCAACATTGACGATCATCGATGGATCATTTCCAATCAATGACAATTGAATAAACGGTAAATTACTTCTTAATATTTTCAACAACAATGATTCTAATTCTTTTTTTTTGTATTTTCATATCTTGATCTCATGATAATTATTATCCGCATTGAAGATCATCGATGGATCATCCCGAACAAATGACAATCAATCAAGTTTCAATCAACAAAATTCGTATTTATTCTCTTTGTCGACAATATTATCGTCCATTCATCAAAATTGTCAAATCATCCAATTATCATGGAAGTGAACATTGGTAATCGAGTGAAGATGATCAAAATGGATGTAAATTGGTTAATTGGCATCAATGGCTGCAAATTCTCCGGCTCTTTTCCATCACATGGCGCATAATTGGATCGTTTTATCAATTTGGAACTTGTGATTTTAATTTTTAATTTATATTTTTAATTTATTTTATTCAAATTATAA